TTAAAAAACGAAATACATGAAATAGAAATCATGCTAAAATATCACATAAAACACACTAATGCAATCTGTATAACTGAACACCGGCTTACGGAGGATCAAATAAAAATGACACAAATACCAGGTTTCTACTTGACTGGTTACTTCTGTCATAGGGCCAAACACACCAATATCAATCATACGCATGGAGGCAAATGCATATATCTGGCCAACAACTGTGATTCCAAAGAAGTAAATAAATTCAAACAAATAACATGTGACTCAGACATAGAATGTTCAATTGTAGAAATTCCAAAGCTGATCATCTGCCTTCTAAGCATTTATCAAGCACCTGATGGAAATCTTCAAATATTCTTTAAAAACTTAGAATTAATCTTGGATAAATTAACAAAGTGGGCTCATTACTCTATTATAATCTGTGGCGATATAAACATTACCTTCCTACCTACAGTTAATATTACTCATGAAAGAGACAAAATCAAACTAATAAACTTAGTACACTCCTATAATTTAGATGCAGTAATTGACACACCAACCAGGCAGAGAACTCCCAAACAGCAATAGACAAGATCCTTTTAGACAAAACACACATACACAATCACCACTAATGATATGGGGCTCAGTGACCACAATGCTCACTCTTAAAATAAATTCCACCTCACCAAAAGCAAACCTAATAAAGGAGCCCAGGAAGTATAATGAAAAAAACCTGAACAATCTCATCCCACTGTTAACTAATGAATCATGGTCAGGGGTATATGAAATATCTTCCATCAACCTAAAGTTCGACACTTTCTTTAATACAGTCAAACACTATTTCAACATCTCACATCCACTACAGTATCACAAACCAAACAACACACAAAACAGCAAAGCATGGATAACAAAAGGTATTAAAATTTTGTGTGAAAGAAGAAGAGAGCTTTATAAAATCACAAAAGAACACTCATGCAATCCTCAAACAGTCAACTACTATAAGCGATATTCAGCCATACTCAAAAGAGTTATAATAAAGGCCAAACAAATGTCAAATATTGAGTATATAAAAAAATCCAAAAATGAAACAAAAGCTACCTGGAATATTGTAAAAGAACATTACCAGCAAATGACAAAACACAAAATATTGAACTAGTCCATGAACACAGAAGAATAACAAACCCTAATGAAACAGCCAGTATATTCAACAAACACTTCTCTGAAATTGCTGGTAAACTACTAAAAACAAGAAATCCAAACACTACACCTCTACAACCATCACCTTTCTTTAAAAACTTGCTTATTAGCAAACATCACAGAAACAACAGAAAAGGAAATACTTCAAATTATAAACAAAATGAAAAAAACAGTCCGCTGGGATAGACAATATAACAGACTTCTTAATAAAAAAGATTGCTCCATATATCATCAAACCATAAAGGTTTAAGCAACCAATCACTAACTCATGGCTCCTTCCCAAATGTATTTAAAACTGCTGTAATTAAACTTATACACAAAAAAGGTAACAAACAAGATGTAATGAATGATCGGCCAATCTCATTCTTGTCAGGTTTTTCAAAAATATTAGAAAAACTATTCTATGAAAGATTAAAAAAAATACTTGATACACTGTAACATTATCACTGACACAAAATATGGATTCAGGGAAAATCGTTCAAATGAAACTGTTCTATCCACCTTTGTAAATGAAATCCTCATGGCATTAGAGCAAAAAGAAATTCCTGCTGGTCTCTTTCTTAACTTGTCAATAGACTTTGACACGATAGATCACACAATTCTATTGTCAAAATTAGAATCTTATGGAATGCGAGGAACTGCTGGCAAATTAATAAAATCATATCTATCAAACAGAAAACAAATAGTAGTACTACCTTACCAAAAAGACAACAAAATAAATAACCATTACTCCGAGCCAAGGGATGTGACATATGGGGTCCCGATAGGATCCACACTAAGCCCAATTTTATTTCTTATATTTGTAAATGACATGTCATCAATAATGGAAAACAACAACACCGTACTTTTTGCTGATGACACTAATATAATATTCAAAGAAAGAATAAACAAAGCTATTGCAAGACAAAGCCAATTCAGCCATCGGCGAGCTAGTTCAATGGGTCCACCATAACAAACTAATCCTAAACCGAGACAAAATAATCACAATACCTTTCCACAACTCCCATTCAACACAACAATACTCACCAAATTTAACATTAGAAGGAAACAGCATCACACAAGCACAGAAAACAAAATTTCTCGGAATAACTATACAATCCAACCTCAAATGGAACTCACACCTAGAAGATATTAATTCAAAATTGAGCAAACATAATTATGCTTTTAGAATAATAATAAGAAACAGCACCATTGAGACAGCATGAACAGTGTACTTTGCAAATGTGCACTCTATTCTCAAATACGGATAATAAAATGGGGCCAAACACCAGAGGCTAAATGAAAACATTCAAAATACAAGAGAATCATTCGAACAATAACAAATACAAAAAGAAGAGTCCTGCAAAACTCATTTCAAAAAACTTAACATACTTCCACTGCCTTGTATTTTTATTTATGAAGTTATCATGTTTGTAAAGAAAAATCTAATAAACAATGAAACACTTTACAAATTTAACTCAAGCTTACACTCCTATAACACAAGGCAAGCATGTAACTTTCATCAACCAATGTGTACAAGCACATTATACCAAAAGTACATTCTCTTCAGGTATACAATTCTTCAACAAATTACCAAAACATTAGAGAAACACGACAGGCTTGTGCAACTTCAAGAAAACACTTAAACACTTCCCTGGGGAGAAAGTTTTTATAGATGGCGGAGGCGGAGGCAGAGGCGGAGTAGAAGTAGAGGTAGAGGTTGAGAGAGAGAGAAGCTTATCTAAAAAATTAATGTGGAGTGAAGCACTACTTGCAGCAATCTATACGCTAAATAGTACTGCTCAATCCAAAGTTGCAGAAAAAACGCCTATTGAACTGTTTTTAAGGAAGAAAAGTCGGTTCACACATTTGAAGATATTTGGTACAGTGTGTTTCGCCTGGATTCATCCACAAAAATGCAGAAAGTTCGATTCAAAGTCTGGAATTGGATATATAGTATGGTATGATGATTGTGGTTATAGGGTACATTTTCCTGAGAAGCATTCTGTTGTAGTGTATCGTGATGTCAAGTTCAAGGACGAAGTGCTGCAACAATCTGTGAAAATGGACATCACCGAATAAGCTGATATTTTAACAGATGAATAGTTTAGATGCAGTTGTAAGGAAGATGACAGTGCTCGAGAACAGTGAAACAAGTGTTATCGATGTAACGTGTGTGCTGAGGAATAGAGAAGTATTAAGGAAAACAGTACGGTAAAGACAGTTTAACCGATCGTCAACAGTCGAGGGTGTTGTTACTGAAGGATCCACCTACAGACTTCAATGAAGCTATGGTGACTGAAGATCCAGACCAATGAAAAGCTGCTGTGGATAAAGAAATTGAAATCATCACAAGAATGTCACCTCGGCCTTAGTCAACCTATCAGTAGGGAGCAAGACTATTGGCAACCGGTGGGTATTTACGACTAAGTTGAACGAGTGTAATAAATTAGTGAGCTATAAGTCTAAATTGGTTGTGAAGGAGTGCAGTCAGCGCCCAGACAAATACACAGATACCTTCGGTCCTGTAGTCATGTTTGAGACTATGAGAGCACTTCTGGGTGTTGTCGTGCAAATAAAGTGGAATGTCCAATTTGATGTGAAAACAGCCTTTTTTTAACAGTTCAAGATATGAAGAAATTTGTATGAAGCAGCCACAAGATAATGAAGACAAAGCAATTCGTGTGTGCAAATTAAACTGCAGCTTATTGCACTCATATAAGTACCTGGGGATGTTGCAGCTGTTGAACATTTCTAACACTAATGTCAGAATTATGATACAGAAGAAAGTACAATCGAGAGTAAATAAAAATTGTGATATGATTATCACCGCAAGAAACAAACGTTTGCAATTAACACATGGGCTATTCCTGTAGCAACCTACAACATTCAGAGTTATAAAATGAAAATATACTTCTTTACAAGCTTTCGACAGGAAATTCAGAACGGCGTTTATCCATCATTGACTCCACCATCCACACAGTTCAATTCAGAGATTTTATCACCTTCAAAATAATGCAGGCAAAGGACTACTGAGTTTGGAAGCACTATGGGGTCAGCAAGAAGGAAAAGTGGTCACTATTTTCTGTCAATTGATATTTCATAAAGAAATTCTCTCTCATGATAAAAATATCAGCCCATTAAGTCTATCCCAAAAAAACATATGAACTTCCTTTATTTGACAGCTCAAAATTGAATTAATTTAATGATCAGTTATGTAACAATGTTGACTTCTGATGATGTTGATCTGAAATGGTCTTTGGATTGCTGTGCCGTGCGATTGTTGGGTCTTTATGGTGAAAGAAAGGGATTTCTCTTCGCCATACAAGATCAAGGGATTAAAACAAGAACGAAAAAAAAATTTTTGAGCCAAATTATTGATGGCAAATCCAATTATGAAAAATTACTAATGAGTCAATCCAACATATTTGCAATGCATGTCAATGTTTGACACATACTGAATATTTTTAGAGTCATAATAACGTTCCTAAAGTAATCCATCGTGGCACTTGCAATGAAATATCAACTGGCAGAATACGAGCGACCGTATTATAAGTGTAAGTCTCAGTAAGTAATCAGTAAAGTATCTGGCATTAATACTGTGGGACAGTACAATTGTAGCTGTCAGGACGTTCGACGCAAATCGACCAGACATACACATTCGATTTAATGTCAAAAACAGGTATGATTATTGATGTTTCAGTTCCTGTGTGTGAGAACCTAGTGTCAACTGTTGCTGAGAAAAAACTGGAGTATTTCGCGTCTTTCTCGGTCGTGCTGCTAGATGTCGCATGATCGTGACCGTATCCAGCTCTGCTATAAGGTCGTGACATCTAGCCGCACGACCGACAAAGACGTGAAAAGCAGCGACATAATGCCACCGTGAAGTTGGGCCTTGAAGGGCAGAGTTATAAAAACCGCACTATAGCTGTTGAGTAGGAGGATATGTACAGATTGCAGAGAATGGAGATAGTACCTGTAATAATGTCAGCAAACGGTGTAGACATGAAGGGGTTGCAGAAGGCTGGAAAAGTCTGCAGTTTGGTGAAAAACATTCTTAGAACAATGCAGGATGCCGCTTTATAGGGTACGGCGAACATCGTCAAAAACTGTTTGAGTCTTGAGTAAGCTAGAATGAAGGGTGAAAGAAGACATCACCACAACCATCAATACAGGAGGACTACAAAGGTTGTTTAGAACACAGAATGAAGGAGTTCTTCTCTGTAGCTCCATACACAGTATTTGTACAGACAAGTTGTGTATTTGGCAGAAAGGCCCCGTTATTTCTTGTAAAGTAAAGGAATAACAAAAAAAGTGCAATAATAATGTTTTTTTTAACCGAAAACGTTCCATTCGGTTCCTGTGCCAAATAATATAATTCATTAAAAATCACGGTTTCTGTTTCCTTCTTTCTTTGTTCGTTATTTAATTCTGATCACTGAAGCCATACTGTAGCCCTGAAAGTCTATTCTAACATAAATAGGATCTTTTCAGGGAAGTTTGACTTCACAATAAACATAATTTAATTTTTGAAGAGTGTGTTTAATCATCCCGTCTTTCCGTATCTGGCCCAAAACAACTATTCTTCTCACCTAATGTGCACGTCGAGACCTTACGACAGACTAGCTAATAGTGCCGGCGCGTGATGATTTCTGCGTATCGGCAGGCAGTGAGAACACAAAAATCCGAATACTAATCGCCTCAACAACACTACTAACAGTGTTTCATAGTTTTCACAAATTAACTTATATACACCCTATCGTTGCACGGTGCTGAACAAGCTGGTAAAATTTCATGTCAATCCGAGTATCCAGCATGGCAAAGGTCGTCAGAAATACTTACGTTCATATTAACCCGCCAATTTATTCACATGACGTCTCTGGTCCAGCGCAGAGACATTAAAAATACATCCACTGTCAGAGAATATATAACCTGCTGTTCCAGAGAATACAATTTTGCCTCTACATTCATGATGAAAACTCTTTCGATGCTCATTTGTTATTCTCGACATATACTTGTTAGCAGTCATATCGATTCTGTACATGGACGGGAAATTGTCAAATTTTGACAACGCACACATGGTTATGACCGGTTATGACAATCGTGGATACGTGTTGATGATTTGTTGGTCCATAAATTAAATTGGCTTAAGTTTGCGAATCCAAATGTAAATACTACAAGTGTGCTTTGTCTATCAATATGATCAAAGCAATTTTGGTGTTCAATAACCATGGAAAACCTCGCATGTCAAAGTTCTACCAATATTTTGTAAGTTAATAGTATTTTTGCTATCGTATCGAATTTTCTTTCAAAATCAGTTTTTCGAACCTACATGAATGTGCATGTGTTTAAAACTGTGTATTGTGTGTTTTAAAGAATGAAGACATGCAACAACAAATTATTAAGGAAACATTTCAACTCGTTTCAAAAAGAGATGACAATGTTTGCAACTTCCTAGAAGGTGGAAGGTAAGCGATGTCTTAAACGTACGACGAAAATGCTAAGTTGTAGTTTCACTTAATATATCAATGCTAACTTCGTTCTTATTTCCAGTTTAATTGGAGGTTCTGATTATAAATTAATATACCGTCACTATGCTACATTGTATTTTGTTTTCTGTGTGGATTCGTCCGAATCAGAACTTGGCATTTTAGACCTTATTCAAGTGTTTGTGGAAACATTGGACAAATGTTTTGAAAATGTTTGTGAATTGGACTTAATTTTTCACGTTGACAAGGTAAGCTGACAAATGTTTGATTACAAGATGCACTCAGTTTTGTTAGTGTTGATTAATTTTCTGCCAAATTACAATGCTTTTTTTTATTGGTTAATTATCATTGTGAAAAGTTGTAATAAAATTGTAATTAAAATGGTGCAGTTCAAATTTTTTTTTTTTTATTGAAACTATCATATTAAAAAGTTTTTCTATCGTTATGTATTCATAAAATAATCTTTGCAGATTATCTTCAGAGTCTGCTGTAAGCACTGTGTCATCTGAATAGTCTTCCATTGTTTTTACACTGTCAATTAGTTTATCCATTATCAAGTTGAAGATTACTGGACTAAGAGTTGCCCTGACTCATTCCACCTGCACATTCCATTTCATCTGTATTTCATATATATATATTTGATCAAATGCCTTCTTGAGATCTACCAAACATAAGGAGGAGGGCTTGTTATATTCGATTGCTTTCTTGACTATTTGACGAACTATAAATATAGCGTCTATTGTTGATCTGTTTCAATGGAATTCTTATTGTTCCTCATTGATTTCGAAGTATTCGAAGTTATTTTAGTCTGTAATTTTGATATCGTACTCAGGGTTATATCTCTGTTACAGTCATCTCTCTTCCCTTTTTTGAAGATCAGTATTGTAATATTGATTTTCCGATGTCATAATACATCCAAGTTCTAATATTTTATTAAATAATACTTTCAGCTGCTCTTTTAATCTCTCACCTCCACACATCAACATCTTGTTATGTATTTCATCTTTACCCGGGTCTTTCCTATTCTTTAAGGTTTTCATTTCATTTCATTCAAAAATTTTTAAAAATTGAACTGGAAAACCGGGAGATGGGAAATTTGTTCAAGGAAATGATGTGTCTTCCCTTATCCAAAATTAATAAACAAATTTTTTACATTTTAAGAAAACCAACTTGCAAAATCACACTCACAAAATACTTCATAACATCCAACTTTCCTCAAACATGCTATTCTTCACTCAATGATACATAAGTAATTAAAATATGTCTCTCGTAGAATCTGTAGTCAAGAAACGAACCTTACTAGCTGGGTGAAAAAAAACACTTCCAAAGTGAGAAATAGAGAGCAGCTGTTGTGACAAGCCATTCCCCATAGCCAATTCTATGTTGATTCCAGGCCATAGACAACTTCCTTCTTGATTCTTTAATCTCCATCCTGACCTCTCTCTCTTAGGGCCAGGAATCTCCACATACAAACAAACAAAAAATTCAATGCAATTAAATGTGTGTGATGGAGGGGGTAGTTGTCCCCCTCTAAATTTTGATTTTTCAAAGAAAATCACTTACATATAATGTTCAACATTAGCGTGTAATGTTTTTGTGACACTCCAAAGATTTTAATATTATTAAAATATATCCGTCATAAGCTCACTTCTTCTTTAAATTGAAGACTGCAGTGAGAGATACTCGTAAACCACACTTAGAGATATTGCTTATGTGTTTGGCAATCGCATACAAATCAATGGAGAGCCAAGACAATTAGTTTGGTATTGTACTGCCATATGGCTAAAAAATGCAAATCTCTAATACAGAATATGGTTGCTCAAAGAGAATTGTGATATGATCAACTTGGAATTGTGGCTTATGATTCTCTCACATACTCAATTAAAAACCAATTTTCCATCAATTTATATTTTGAAGTGTTCTAAATATGAACACCATCTTGTTCTTCCGCATGGAACAAATATTTTCCTCATTTTGGTAAATTTATATTAACTTATATTTAAAATAGGATGTTGGATACAAATAATTATTGGTTGTGTTTGATAGTTTGTTTTTTAAATCATTTGCATGAATGTTTCTAAAATCGTATGTCAAACTTGAACTTCTTATCTCTTATTACATTCATAACATTTTACTGTGAAATATAGAATGCTCAAATATTATAGTAGAATAATAAATGATTTTAGAAATTATAATAGAAAAATAATGTTATGCATCCATTGTGTATTAGGTGCACTACATTTTGAACGAGCTAGTAATGGGAGGCATGGTGCTGGAAACAAACATGACTGAAATTCTTACAAGAATAGAAGATCAAAACAAACTTGAGAAACAGGAGGTATGATACTACGTTGTTACCATTTTCAACTTGAAATTTTTTTTATCCTTCTTAAATGTAGGAAAAATGTTGCATTAAATCACAGACTATCGAAAATATTCTTCCTTTCCTTTTTCTTATCTTTTCCTTGCCCTGCCCCATCTCATCTTGTTCTGCCATGCCTCACCCTGCCACACTACAGGCTTCACTGCGCTGACTTTGTTTTCATGCCTATTCCTTTCTTCAGTCTTCTTCATTCAAAAACTGAGGTTCTGAAGGTGTAATCTTCAGCAAATCTTATTGCAACCATCTTATTGCAAATTTGGTAGATTCAATAAAGCTAGCCTTTCTTTGTTAGTAGTGTGCCTTAAGTTAGCTCATGATTTTGTTGCTGTTTTGAGTATTCTTTGTACAGTTCCAACATAAATGTTGTATTAAGATCAGACATCTATGTTGGAATTATAGTGAGGATTGGCCTAATAATTAGGTGTATATCTTTGTGAATATTTTTGATTAAAGATTCTTGAAGCATTTATTCTCTTATATCATTATATATCATAATTTGCTTTTTTCTCAAAACTTGGTATGGTCACTCCTCCTAAGGTTAGATGATATATGCATGGCTGTTTTTGATTGTAGAGTAGTTGGTATTATGTTATGGTACAATAAGTAGTTAGTGTCAGGTTATTTTTGACAATATGAATCACTTAACTTGGAGATTTATAAATAGCAACCAATTGTCCAGTCAGTGATTTTATCTAGATTATTTTGGAACACAGAGAGACAGGAACTTATCCAATGTTTGAAATAGATAATAAGTATCTTTTGTCTAATTTGATTTGTAGAGCCTAGCAGATTGGACAACAGTTATAATAATAATAATAATAGTAATAATAGTAATAATAATAATAATAATAGTAATAATAGTAATAATAGTAATAATAATAATAATAATAATAATAATAATAATAATATTTATTTAGTCACATATACAATTACAATCGTGTATGAAGAGTCAATATGATGCCTTGGGTGGAGAGAGCGAACTATGTTAACTTTGATGAGTTGACTATGATAACTTTGTTCATTAAAATTTTAAGAAATGGTATTAACTGTTCATATATTCATAGTCAAATATTGTCAATACCATGTCATTCACCATGTTCATAAATATGTTTTTACAATTTTTGCTCAACAGATAAGTTTCTCATCATAACTAGTGTTAACAAATTCACTGCTAACAACCTAACTTTGCAGGTAGGAGATTGATATATTTGCTGATTCTGTAACTGTATTATGCAACTTGGATATGAAATTTGTTTCCACCATTACTAATTAATTTAGTGAAGTTATTGTATGCCTTAAACCTATAATAGGGTTTAACCTTCTGGCTTTATCTGTTATAAATAAATAAATAAATAAATAAATAAATAAATAATTTTGTAGGATATCTGTTGGGGGATTTTCGTAACACTTAGTATTAACAGCAAACTAGATATTTTCCATGTCCATAAAAATGGGTAGGGTGTTTGCCTACAGGACATATTGTAGAGGCCCTGTGTTCCTTTACAGTACATCATTCTAGATGAGAATTTGTGCATGTTTTCACTGACTGATCCTATTATCTAGGTAAGCATCAATGAAATCTAGGAATTTTCCTTTAATACTATTTTGTTCTAATTTCTATAGTAAGCATTGGTGGAATACTTTGTCCCAGGTATTTTCAAACTTTAGGTAGACGATATTGATTGGTTATCTCGAGTCACGTAAGTTTGTTCACTTTCCTACACACCGATGATTTGAAGTGACCAACCTTTTTGGAATAAATCCATAATGGTTTGTGAGGGGAAATTCAGATTTCACTGCATAAGCACTTGGGTATCACTCTAGCCATAACTTTTCTAGTATGCAACACATCAATCATATTGAGTTCAATGGTTGAGGTCTGTTCCCTTTCTTATATATCAGGGTAATTCAGGAAAAAATCATATTGCTAAAACTTTTTTTTTTCTATATTAAGTTTTGCTTTGTTCACAGGCAGGGTTGGCTGCAGCTCCAGCAAGAGCTGTCTCTGCTGTCAAGAACATGAACATTCCTCAACAGATCAAGGACATGAAATTACCCGATCTTCCTCAGGCCATTAAAGATCTGAAATTCTGACCTCGGGGAACCATGGCTGCTGACCTTAGCTGACCGCCCTTAGGTGATCGAGCAGAGGAGGCAGCTCTGGTTCAGCATCCATATTGTTCCTAGTGCACAAAATGACATGTCGTGTGATGGCTTTCTTATACTCATTCACAAAGAATCTGTGAAACAAATACTACTTATCCAATGTATACTTCTTTATTTTAATTTCTGTTTTCTATTTTGCATTATTTATATAGTTACTTTGTAAAGAAATGTCTCATGTTATTTATTGATGTTGAAAACTATTAATGAAAAAGTGAGAGTTATTTTTAAAAGTTTGTCTTCTTTGTGAAAGCATTGTTAAAGAATGATCTTTAGATTGTAAGTGCAATTACATAAGTTATATTTTGGTATTGAATGAAGTATATTGTGCAGTATATATTGTGCAGATACATCTCTTGTAGGTGGGTTAAATTTGTTTTCTTGTGCTTCCTTTTGCAGTCTAAGCCCAAAAGTTCCAATTTTAATGTTCAGTTTCATGTCTTCACCTTTGAAATTATTGTCTTATGAGGTTAATTTGCATTGAAAAATCACTTGTCTACCTACCTCAAATTGCAGACAAAATACAAGTACTTAGAATAAACTCGATAACATTATTCTTTCTTGAATTATGGTATCGTTAATAGTGTAGTTGCTCATTAATTTCAACAAAAACTATTTCTGAATTATAAGATCCTTAACTGTTACTGAAACTTTAATCGTTCATCACATTTGGAATTATTAATTTCTTTGTTGTTGATATTAGCTAATTTGCTCATAAAGGAGAGCATTGCTGAACATATTCCATATGTTATGGAATACATTTATTTCTAATAGACAGGAAATGAAACTAGTACTACTAACTAAATTTATTCAATTTTTCAGTTTTTTGAAGAAACTTATGAAGCTTGAATCTTCTTTACTTTGAACTACGTATAAGTAAAATTATTGTCATAAAATTTCTTTAATATTAATGTGTAAAGTGTATAGATTGACAATCTAATTTAGGTAATTAATGATAGCAGAATCCCCCAAATGAAGAAATAAATTAAATTAATACATTTAAATGTATAGAAGCAAATCTTTTGTGCTTGCATAGAAGACTTTGTCAAGTACAAGCAGCACCTTTTATTTTAAATATTGCTGCACTCTGTAAGGCGAAGTATGGTTAGCGGAAGAAGATTATCTTCTACATCTAGCTGTTGTAATAATTCTCAATCCCCATTTATAGTATCTTCAATATACTGAATTGATATAAACTTTGATTTTACTGATAAAGAAGGGAACACCAAAGGAAAAGAACTGAAAATTAAATTCGTAATGCTTTATACTTTTATTGATTGTTGATGTTATATTTGCTCTTTGAATGTTTCACTGATTATATCAGATACAGTAGAATAAGACTTTTAAAAAGTGTTGTTCTTCTCTACAGTTGGTTCAGAGAATCTTACGTAGTATCATCAAACCGATAAGGGTAATAGGGCAGAGAACACCTTTGAAATTAATTAATTCTATAGGTAAACTGCATTGAAAAGAGCCTTGCACTGTGCATGCCTTAAATTACGATCCCTTCCATTGTTCAACATGATGTTGCCATATGTTTGGTTGATAATATTGGAGCACGATGAGTACATAGGTGTAGGGCACCTATTGCATCCCATCAGTTGAGTGAAGCCATATGGGAAGCGCAGGTGGTTCCTCTGCCCTCAAGGACATATTCTACATGGTACATCTATAATACTATTTTATTGTGTGTAGTTATAGAATTTTTAATGAAAGATTAGTACTTGATTATATTTCCTTGATTATAGTATTACTTGATGTATGGTATTTTTCTTTAGAAACGACTAAAGACAGAAGTTTCAAGCACTATCATGTCCTTAAATGTGCACCCAAACCTGTTCTGTCAAATAATAATACCAAATAGCTTGATTAAGGGTAAAAATTAATGCCATGCACTACCAAATTGAAGTATTTTTCTGATTTTCTATTTTATTTTAGTGCTTTTTGTAGCAGTGCTGGTGTTTTGAGTGACAAAAATAATCATTGTTTTCTGTTCTTTTTTTTTGTGTTAAAATAAGCTTAAAACCAACTGAAACTGATTAAGAGCGGGTATTAAAGGTCAAAATTTGCCATTCCTCCAGTTCACACTTGCAAGGCCAGAGTCTTGCCGCGTGAAATAAGGCATTGATTCATTTCAAATTCAATTAAACAATATTATCTCATCTGTATGGAATGTGTTCTTTGCCAACAATGCATGGGAATTTTCATCATTTTGTCGAGTGCTGTCATAAGGAGCAGTGTCTCGGCACTTTGAATATGCTCTTGTGGCAGTGTGAACCTAGTTTATCCTTATACCTGCCTATGGTCGGCTGACTGACCTAATTGACCTGACTTAACTGACTGACCTGACTGACTGACTGACTGACTGACTGACTGACTGGACCGTCTGGACTGACTGGACTGTCTGATTGATTGATTTACTGACTGACTCACAGAAATGTGCTACAATTCTTTCACTATCCATTGTAATGTGAGTGTATATTGATCAGTTACAACTGATTACAAACATAAAAGAAATATTTGGAATGTGTATTTCACTTCACAACAAAATCAGTTTGTAGTTCCTTTTTTTCCTAACTTTTCAGAATTTTAAAATATGGCAGCTTAGTAATAAAATGAGCAATGACATCTGTCCATTGTCAGATTCTGAGAATATACTATTATGTTTTATATACATTAATTTGTTAAGATTTAGTTTGCAAAAATTTTAATAATATAGGTAAAAGTGTGATTATGCAATATTATTCAGAAAAGTATAAACATGCATTTTACATGAATTTTCCCCCAAAAAATTTGCATGCAAACATGCACAAAAAAGTGTATATTTTTTAAATGAGCTTACCATGAAGCACAAGTTGAAGAACCATATAGCAACATGCATTTGCATGGAAATCTTGTCTTTAGTAAGGACTCCTTTAACATCTTGTCCTTTTGGGATGGTTCCATTTGCTGTCAATTTTGAATTAAAGTCGTACATATTGCAAGAGTAGTTTCTTCTTTACTTATATTATATATATGAAGGTCAGTTTGCCAGATAAATTGAAAACTTGTTGCGTTTTATGTTATCTTAAAATTTTCTTTCCATTTGTTAAATCAATGTGTAATTCATGTATGCTTTCTTGAGCTCTCATTTCACAAATGTGAGGGAATTGGTTGTTTTTTTATCAAATCTGTAGCTCGTTGTTCAATGCAAATAATTTCTGGTTACCAGATGTCAACAGTGCTTGTTGCTATCTTTTATTCGTAATTCAGCTAAAGGTAAAGGAGAGGAGTAGGGATTCTGGAGCTCAAGAAAACGTGTGTACATGTTATAGGGAAATATTTACGTGAATTACATGCGAAATTTAGAAAACCTATTGTTCATGTGTAAATTATTGCCCACTATCTGTTACAAAAAGCAACTGATTGCTACATGTGCTGTATATTGTGATAAGTAGATTTCATAAAAATAAATACAGAATATATTATATACTTGATAAATAATATGCGAGAAAACTGTATACTACTTCGTATTATTCTTTGCTCCTCAAAAATGTGCTCTGCTACTCATAATTTACTTGCACTGTTTAATGATGAAGAAAAATTTAATAACTTTTTATGGTGTAGAAGACATAAAAATTTTGAACTGGGGTGATACAAAACTTTATAATATACTGCATCTGTGTGTCTGCTCACCTGTACACCAGTAATGAGATTGCAGAGTTGAAAGTGAATAAACTTTTTCTTCAATCAAAGTTACCAATGTATAAACTGGAAGATGTATTGAAAGATCTGTCCTAATAACAAAAAGACTTATTCAACATTTTGATAATCTCTGATGTATTTTTAATTATTCCTCTGTTTTTATGGAAGTGTGTTATCAAATAAATATTGATTATATTTGAATTAATTTGTTAGTCCTATTTATTAAAATACTTCTTTTCCAATGAGAAACAACAATAGTTGCAGATCAAATACCTTGATCTTTTAAATTATTTCCGTGCATCCTAAATCAGGATTGTTATCCATTTTTAATTTGTAGTGTCGTGTGTGTGATTTTTTTTTTTATCTCTATTCCTTATGTTGTATGGTTATTAACATGGTTTTCTTTCCAGACATACCCTCTTTTTGTATCTTTAAATTTTGTAAAATCTTTGTATTTCTCGTAATAATTTCATGTAGTTAACAGGACAGATTTTTTATAATAATAATAATTGTTATTATAATAAATACAAGATATTTCTTTCCAATTATATGATAATATTTTATTACTTATAGTCTTACAAATTGTATTAAGCAAAGTCTGTCCAGCAATTAATTTAAATTATGGTAAGAATTACATTTTCTTAATTACATTAACTTACCATAATAAATTATTAAGGTTACAGTAACTGTATAAATTACATGTTAAAATATATATGTAAATGTTTACATTAAATATTTTTTTTAAAATACAGCAGGAATTAGATTCAGTTACATCAACTTACAGTAATTATTTAAACAGTTAACTTGATAAATTACATGATTATTAAAACATGTAAATGCTTAAAATAAACATTAAAATAATTTACGTTATTACAAAAAAAAAACTAAGTCTCATTAACAAATTAAAAATAAAATTAAGAAATCATTACATTAATAAACTGCAGCAAACCTAATGTATAGTAACCGACTGGTATGTGGAAGAAAATGTAAAAACCTGAATGTTTTGAATTATTTAATTAAACTTAATTACTAACATTCTTATCTTCAATTTCTAGATAGCGCTTGTTCTCAGAAATAAAAGGAAGAAAACTTTGAGGAATTAGTAATAGATGCAAGAGCATGAAAGTGAAGTCATCAATAGGATAAACAAAATAAAAAATTACATGAAACATGGATGATAATTATTTAAGATAGAGTGAAATTCATGAATTATTCTTCAGATTTTCAAGAGTACAAAAGCAGTTTTTAGAACATTCTGTGGAAACAATGTGATTAATGAAAATCATCATAAAAATCTTACCAATAGGTCATTAATGTGTATTTTGCAGGAAAAATAATGACCTGTCTTCAACATTTACAAATGTAATAAATTACATGTTTATGTAGTGTGTCCCATTCGTATATTAACATTTGTCAAAGCAAAATAAAACATGAATAAATGCCTTCTCATTTAAATTTGCATTGTAACATTTAAATACTTTTATTACTTTTGTAAAAGTTAATAAATGGTAATATTTAATGTTTAGGAGGCTTTTGCCCTTAATGAGATTATACAAGCTCTAAATTAAAATTAAATTAAATATTATTAAATTTAACAGAATTACATTTTTGTGGCGCTAGTTACAGACAATCCAGAAAACGGTGGACTTAAGGTAACTTAATTCGCAGTTGATTGCGTTATACTAAATTACTGGGTTCAAAAACAATTTCATTTGGAGATAATTAAAATACACTAAATCATTTTCACGCGTAAAAGGAAACAGTTGATTTCAGAAATTAGCTTTAAATGTTTCCGAAATATTGTGTTTGAACGTTACAAGATGTACCTTCTTTATATGTTTGTTTTAAAATTTGTATCGCAACACATTTTCTAGGGAAAGTTCATGACACGAAGACGTAATGTCAAGATTGTAGTTCTTTTTTGTAAACAGGAGTTGGTAATTCCGTTTACTATACGGTCCGCATGAAAGGTAGAGCCAGGTCAGAGAGTATATAGTGGTATATAGGTGGGGTGAGCTTACAATGACGAGCGGTGCCAGGTGACGAGCGGTGACAATCGTGACAATTGTACGGCTACAGCACCAGCACGGTGCAAACACGCCGCGCACACGCACGAAGTCTTATTTAGTAGGTTTAGTAGAGGAGGCCAGTCACGCTAGCCGGACGCAGTGACATCGAAAATTTCAACAGCAAGTCTGCTCGAGTGATAAATGTGTTAAAACTGTAGAATTATATTGACAATGTTCCGCATACAGAAATGTGCGATGTTCATGGGGGCTTCCGTGGTCGAATACAAGAGAGGCATATCTAATGCCTTAATGATCACGAACAAACAGAGGTCGGCGGTGGGCTCCAATGTCAGTAAACAGAATAATTCATTCAATAGCACCTGCATGAAGTCGAAGATCAATTCTTCATCCAGAAGGTAAATGATTGTTTTGTATTGTCAGTGTGCTTATTGTAAGCACTTGCCACGCTTAATTATTCAGTTGACGTAGAACAACACTTACAAGCACGGCATGGGAATGTGAGCAGTTTTAGGCTTTCATTTAATTTATTTTGTCGCGGTTGACACAATTTTGTTATGCTTTTGGGCTGTAAGTGCACGTCAAATTAAATAACATGTGCGTTCTATTATGTTCCTCTAATACACGATTTTATAGATTGAATTACATCGAAAATAATTTCGGTAAGCTTTTTATATTTGCTTTATTTTAAAATTTCTTTCTTTTTTTTTTGTATGTGTAAAAGAAAAATTCTTCCAAAATATTTTATTATGCATGCAGAAGATCATTGCACGTGAGCATTTGCCATGATTTGAAATGTCAGAAATTCTTAGTTGACATCAGTGACAGATTTTAAACGTGTATATCAAAAGGTAATCTAAAAATTCGATATTCATTGTTCTGGCCATATTCTCATATTTTTTTCAATATAAATAATAATAGTAATAATCAATTTTCTGTGAATACTAGAAAAGTTACTTTCCTTTTTGAGTTTTGTTTGGATATTTGCAAATTAAATGCGCTGCTTTCTGTTTGTGTAAATATATTAATGTTTTACCTTTTAAAAGCTTACATTTTTTACAGATTGTTTCTTAGTAGTTAAACCAACAAATGTTCAAACAGTTGTGTAAAATGAATCTCAAATATTAGCTATCAACTTGAATCTCAGCTTTCCCAATTTTCAGATTGAATATTTTGTATTTTGGACAGATATGTCATTATATTGCCAGGTCTTAAAGGAAACAAACAATTTTGCAATTAATTCATGATTTAGAAAATAATTCTTTAAGATGCAAACTTTTGTGTTGGCTTCTAGAGCTCAGTCTACTGGGAACAACGTTCCAACTGTTCCTTTAGCAGCTGTCAATACTGCAGCCAGTAAAGATGAGAGTAGAGAGTTTATGGCTGTTTTCCCAGATGTTGTTCGAGATTTAACTGATGCAGGGAAACATTTGGATATTCCTGAAGCTACAAAATGGTTTGCAAAGGTGTGTCTCAGTTAATTGTTAGTACAAATCATTCTGTTCCCTTTTGTATAAACCAGACATACACAGAACTTTGAAGACAATTTCACAATTTTTCTTGTAAATAAGAAGGGTTAAGAAAACACATTTCACTGAACTTTAGAAAGTGTGGATATAAATAAACACTGTTGGATGTAGAGTTTCTAATGCCCTACTTCTTGTTATTCAAAAGTTGCCACTTCATTCATATGCAAGTTGGAAAGGAGCATAGTTCATGGAAGTGATTTGAATTTCTTAAAACTTGATATTTATCAGAATATAAATAGCTTCTCAATGTATGCAAAAGGAATTACCATACTTCCTACAAAAAGACAATGTCATTTGCAGCTACGCAAACTCCATTCAGAGAAGTCGATCTCTTTATGCTCTTTTATTAGTCCTTGTTCAATAGGTAAAGGTAATAGTATATAATTAATTATAATTCAAATGACTATAATCAGCATTTTTGTAAGTTACAAATAAAATGGATTATTTTTCTACTAAGTAAGTCATATCATTCAAAGTTCTTAAATTGAAAGTTAGAATTTTACTTCAGATATCTGATGTAACCTAGTAATCCTTCATAAACTATTGACCATGTTCATACTGCTGCTGCACTGCAAATCTTGAAATATTTGCACTTATTTACAATATTTGTATGTCTATTTCTATTTTATATTTAGATTTACTTTGGTTCTATCACGTTTATAAGCCTGTGCTTTATTATGTAAGTAAGCAAGTTGCGTTGTCACAAGGAGCATTAACTTACTGCAGACCATTATAAGGTTCCTTATAAAATTCTGCAGGAATAGTAATTATTACTTGGAAAGACTTTACAGGGTCCAAACAAGGAAAGTTCTATATAAACCTAAATAGTCTTATGAAAAACATCTGTGCTGGTAATGTGTAGATATTATGATATCTTGAAATATGCATGTATTTATCATTATCCTTGTTGAGTAATATGCTTGCACTCCATGTAGTTTTGATGCTTAATAATTAATACTTATTTAATTATAAAAATTAATATTTATCAACAGCCTCAAAACATGATATTTAATTTTTAGCAATACAGTATAATGATTGTCTCAAAAAAGTTAAAATTCAAAAAAGTGTTAACTGTTTGATTATTAAAGATCAAGAAGAAAATATAGTGAAATTCCTTTGTTTCATAATGAGCAATTGATTTTGTACTTATTATTATTTTGGACCAAGCAAAATTGGAACATATATTATCAGGATTCAAAATTTGTTTTACGACTTCGTCTCAAGGAAATGACGTTTTAGTGGAATACGAAATGTATTGATGTTCCATGAAAATATTCATATAATATAAAATTCCAAATAATAGAGTATTAATGTTATTAAAGTTATTTAATTGTGTGTTAACATAATTAGTTCTTAAGTTCAAACAGTATTACAGTTGTGTAAAGTTGTATTCAGTAGCGTTTAACACTCAATGGGGCTCTAGGTAATTACAAACAAGAGCTCCCCCTTCTGTGTTCATTGACCATACCCCTTTTTCCTGTATAAAAGTTCAATAATTAATATTCAGATACAATTTATTAATACTGAAAATAACGTTTGCAATTAACAATACAAAATGAGATTCAGAAAAACTTTCTCCTACATTTCAGTTCACAGAACTTGTTAATAATGTCATCAAAATTAATTTTCCTTAAAATATCTGATTTGATGCAATGAAAGCTGAACGTATCTAGTTGTGTCTGCCTCATAGTAGATCTTTAACTGGCCTTGAGTAGTTTTAAATTCGAAAAAGAACGTTCTGCAGAACAATTCATTATCGTCAAGAAAATTCAAAGTACTATTTTGAACTATTAAAGTATGCATTCTGAATTTATACATTGACATGTCTTACTAAATTTGTGATGAAAGAATTTATTTTATTACAATTTTGAAGTCCCAGAAAACATATAAACAAAATATGACTGTGGTAAAAATAGTTTTCACGATCTAAAATGTAATTATTTTTACTTTCGTTATATGCTGACATTGAATTTCATAACAGCATGTATAAGCTCAAAATGACTTGAAAACTAATACATGGTTACAAAAATAGTGTTTGATAATTTATTTTTTAAATTTTCATGTCATCCCTAGGTAATTGCCTAATACTGGCCATTGGTTAATCCACCACTGTAGGTAGAGTTCTTTCAATATTATATCTTTGCGAGTCATTACAATTTTTTTTAATCTCTTTCTCTCCAGAAAAACATAATTCATATCTTTACCTCTTTTCGAAAACTGTTGTTGTTGTTATTATTATTGATATTTATATTAAGGTCTGGTTTTTACTAGACAACGCATTTTAGAATTGTTTGCCTTTCTGTGTGTTTATTGCATGTTTTGTTGATTTTATTCTTGTAGAATGTGCCTTTTTTTCTTTCATTGGGCCAAGTTATCCTAGTCTCGTTAGGTTTCTTTGCCTGGCCATTGTGAATTTTCTGCATATAAGCTTTTCTATTTTGTTCTTAAAGTTCTGTTCTACTAGCCTCTTTTCATGTTTTTTAATCAACATAATGGCTCAACTACAATATTTGTGAAATTCCATAATTTTGTCTTGTTAATATGGTTGGTTCCATTCTTTAAACATGTCTGTTAAATATTTTTGCACACATTTTTTATATATGAATATATATTTTATATTTCATTATTTGCTGTTAATCTATATTCCTTTCTTGGTGATTTTTGGGCTTAAAATTTGTTTAAATAGCTTTTCTTTTGATCTTGTTTTCTGTTTAAAATCAGTTTCAGCTCCATAAATAAACTCCAGTTTGATTTTCATGTTTTATCCTCGTGTAAAATCTTCTTTGTACCCTCAGTTATTTCCTACTATTACTCCACTCCATATATCATTCTTTCGCTAAACATATTTAAACTTCCTCTCCAAAAAATTTTCACTCTTCATCTATAATTCACCCAATTCTTTTCTTCCATTCCCCCATCATTATTCAGAACATGTTCACATTTCCTACCTAATTTCTTATTCCAGCCAAGCAATACCGGTTTCCTTTACATTCATTCCCTAGTCTGAATTTGACAATCATACTTCTTTTATCATGGTTTGTCTCCCTTAGTAAATATTGTGATCTGATTCCCATAAGAATTAACATTAACTTATGATTAGCATTTATAATTTTTTCCTATCCTTCTTGTCCCAATAATTCTTGGACTTTCTACTATGACCTTGTTCATTTGAACTCCTGTCTTCCTTCATCTTTGTACTTCCCTTAGAACAAAATCTCCCACTAAAACATTTTCCTGATCTTTTCTTGTGCTGTCTCTTTCTTGTGCTCTCCAAATCTCATTGTTGATCACCCCACCCTCACGTGTATATAGTATTCTCCTCTCCTCATCATGTAACAAGGTATTCAAAAAATTAGTTTTAGTTTCCACTGTAAGAACTTGTCCTGTATTCTTTCAATTTGTTTTCTATTTCATCCTCTCACCTCAGCCTCCACAAGCACTGTGGTCACCAAGCTATCAATCTAATCATCCTTCTCCACTTATTTTAAGATTCCCAAGTCTACCATGTATGTCTACATTGTATACTGTATATTATAGTACAGCGTATTACAATATATTGAAGGTTTATTCACATAATATTGAAAAAACTTAGTAAATGAGTGCATAAAAAAATATCTCAGCACACAGCACAGCAATTTTATCAAATAGAAAAGTAACCCTGCTCTGCTAAATCCATTATTCCTTTCCCACCTCCAAAGGACATGCAAAATGGTTAAAAAGTCCTTTTAGAGAGATGTATATTCATATCGCAAGTTAACCGCAACCCTGAAAGAAAGCCTTCTCTTGGTATAAAGATAAATTATTCAAAGGAGGGGGAGAATCAGAATTCTGTATTATTTTAAATGTAGGTTATTGAAAATTTGTATTCTCTTGGATCCCAAAGTTTTCTTTGCAAATGGATTGGTCTGAACTTGTTTTTTTGTTGTTTTTTTTTTTTTTGGATACTGTTGTGTTTTGGATTTGTTTGTAAATATAGTTGTAATCTTGTGTATTAGTTGATAGAAAACAACTGATACTTTAAACAAATTTTCTTCAATATTTGGCATGCTGCTATTTTATGCAATTGTGCATCACAGTGCATACCTGCATGTTTAGTTCATAAATTGTCTTGACAGTTAACAAGTTTCATTGATATATTCAAAAGTCAAACAAGATTTAAACTGTAATAGAAATTAAAAAATATATTAATTGTGAGTTTACACCTTACGTTAAATATATTTGTTAGTGAACCCTGGTGAATTGTTTTCCTAGCTGAAGTTAGGTAGAAGGAAGAATTGAATATCTTTGGTAAAACCTCAACATGTGTATCTGAACTGGATCACTAGAATTTTACATGTATGCAAGGTATTTGCTCATGAAATGGGTCTAAAGTAACAGTGGATGCTATATGAATTATTTATTAATGTGATATGTTGAATGAAACCTGACACTATCATTCTGTAGGGGATTTTTTTTATAAATATAATTTAAAATGGTTTACTTTGTTTTTTGATATTATGGAAAGTCAATACAACATTGTGCACATTAGTGAATTCAATTTACAAAATTTAATTTGGAAATCTTGTTTGGTACTTGTGAATAAAGGTCCTCAAAAAATGTTTCTGTTGTCTCTTCAGTGAAAATGCCCACATTTCAAATATGTTGAGTACACTTACATTTGATTTCCTTTACAGTCCTTGTTTTTATGAAATAAAAATATCAAGAAGTACCCTAAATCAAGTTACTGGTTTAATATTGTTTAATTCTCTGAAAATCTATTATTTTCCCTCATTTTTCTATTTTACTTATTATGAAATGGGAAGGTGGATTGCCAAAATAATGGTTGCTTTAATGCATGCATGTTTTTCACTGTAAGTTTTGAAGAAAAACAAAATAAAAACAACAAAAGAAAACAAATTTTGTCATAGTGATTTGTATTGTGATTGCATTGAGAGGTAAAGAAATGCTGAACTTTTCTGTTTCTCTTTACATACAGGTTCTACAATACAATGTCCCTGGAGGAAAAAAGAACCGTGGATTGGCCACAGTCTTCGCATATCGCATGTTATCACCTGCAGATCAGCTAACACCTGAGAATTTGAGATTGGCCCACATTATTGGTTGGTGTGTTGAGATGGTAGGTGCTATCAAACTGCATGCACTTTCCAGAAAATGTTTTAAATTGAAAGAAATTTTCTAATTACAGCTTCAAGCTTTCTTTTTGGTTGTTGATGATGTAATGGACAATGCAACTACTCGACGAGGCAGACCTTGCTGGTACCGTCACAAAGATATTGGAGTGGCTGCAGTTAATGATGGAATTCTTTTGGAGAGTGGATTGTATCAGCTTCTGAGACGCTATTTCCAAGATAAGCCATACTATACAGCAATTCTTGAATTATTTCATGACGTAAGTGTTTTCATGACTTAAAATAGTGTAGCATGCACACTGCTCAAGAATAACAAATAAAATTATCTCACAAAACACTGCATTAAATTAAATATTTTAATAAAAGCAGTCTCCACAAACAGCAAACAGCAATTATTGCTTAGTGTAGTATACAGTACAACAGTTCTTTCCAAACCTAGAATATACTAAAGTTACTGTTTCATAAAGCATACGAATAGTAAGGCAGGTGGGTCCTTCCTTAGACCCTTGCTGTCATACGACGTCACCTGTATCATTAGTAATAAGTGTGAAAATTAAATAGGTACACAGAATGAGAATAGGCAGACACACGCAAATGTTTTGCAATTTTCTGTCAAAATGGAAACTGGTTCATTGTTATTAGATTTTCCCCTAGTTCCTGGGTGTCATACAAAACTGTCGATACCTCTAAAAAGGCTGAGGCTGTGTAGGTTTCTTTCAATTTCTGCACTCATACGAAATGAGTGATATAGATATGAAAATTATTTTTGCTTGAGATTTTCCTGATTTGTTCTTTCTAAACCTGATTAATTGTAAAAACAAAAAGGGGAGGTCAGAAAAGGATGATGGTGCTACGTTTATGGGTTGTGCTCATTAATTGCATTGTGGGAATGCTGATGTTATGTTGTCATTATTGGGGGAAGGGGCGGAGAGAATGGAAATCATATTTGCTAACTTAAATTTGTCTCCTCCCTACCTCCACCCACTGCTAGACTGATAATGACAGCAAAACCCTAGAAAGCCAGCATTGAAAATTAAATTAAAGTTCCATTAAATCATTTTGTGTATTAATTGTGCTTGTGAGAATGTACAAGTTATTTATTGTAATATAATTATGTAAACTAAATCTAAATATCTGTCCATATTTACTCGAATATAAGATGAGTATTTTTCCAAAATATCTGTCAGAAAAGGCAGGGTCATCTTATATTCGCAAATTAATGTAGTAGGTTAGGATTTAAGTTTTTACATTGGATTTCATGTCACGATAATTGTAAATGTTGATGTAACAATAAACTGAAGACTGCAAAAATATTCTGCTGAACCACAATACGTAATTATATTGGTGTTCGTATTCTCGGTATCCACCTTGAATTTGTCGGGCAATTCAGACCAATATTTTGTATAATGAAGTGTGAACAAAAGTGCATAAAAAATGTAATTCAGGTTCTTTGCTGTATTCTGTCACTCTTTTAGTTCTTTTCTTGCATCTTTGAATATAATATCATTCACACTCTTTACCATACAGGGAGCACCCGCAGTCTTCTTTCACTTCGTGGTGATGTGAGGTCACATAGATTTTGTGATAAAACTGATGAGTCAGGCTTGTGATCACGTGCTTTACTTCCTGATTTGTTTCCATCCATTTTTGTTCCATAATGGTGTCTGTTAGAGTAAAATTCTGACAATGTCTCTCTTCTCTTCTTTTTTCTTTGTTCTAGCACTTGGGTACTTTGCCTGGTGGATGGTAGTAGTAATTGGTATCTTATGTCCTCGATATAGAATGGTTCTCTGCTCAGTTCCCACACGACACTCTTCAGGTATCTTACTTAGTCCTCTCTATGGACCTTAGATCAGCTATTGATAGTTTTTACCAAATTAATTGCATTCCATTTGTTATGATTGGGCTAATGCATGAAATATTTTGATTGCTGATTCTAGTCATAGTTTGTGGATATGTTTTATTGAGTACATTGCTCTAATTGCCATTGCTGCTTTTTCTCTGATATGAATTTTTAATGAGCTGCCTGTTGTCTGAAGTGTTATTCCTAAATATCTGTAATATTGAGCTATTTCGAGAAATTTGTTTATTGAATTTTATTTTCTTGCTATTTTTTGTCCTATTCGGAAGGGCATCTACACTGTCTTGCTTTTATTGATTTGGAAATAGTTTTCTTCTGCTTATGCTTTTACATTGTCAATGGCTTGTTAGAGGCTTGTCAGCTGGCTGAACCTAGCACCATATCTCCATACACGTTTTGGGATGTTTCCTGATAGTGCTCTGTTATCCTTATTATGTCTGTGATTAGAATGTTGAACAGAATGGGGCTTATTGGGTCCCCCTGCATTACTCCATTTGTTTGAATGATGTCTTTAGAGAAACTGACTCCATCATATGTTTGCTGTGTTGTAAGCCAGAACATTTAGTATCCTTGTGATGTGCATTTCTTCTATCATGTGTATGAGCTTTTCCAATACCCATCTTCTGTTCAGGTCAAATGCCTTTGTATAGTCAATAAAGACTGCGTAGTATTTTCCTTTTGGCTGTTTCAGGGCAACTTCTATTTCACCGAATAAATTACTGATCACCTGAAGGGTTTTTCTGTTTCCTGAAACTGTATTGTTGTTCCGAAATTAGGTGGTTCATCTCTTTCTCAAGTCTCTCCGTGATTAGGATTGAGAATATTTTGAAATCATGGTGTTGGAGTGCAATTCCCCTGGAGGAGTTAGGATAAGCTGCATCCCCTTTTCCTTTGTATAATACTTTTATACTGGATTTTCTTCATGCTTCTGGTATTTCACCACTTCCCATGCATTTATTAAACATCTGTCCATGTTTCTATTAACTGATTTTTCATAGCTTTGATATGTTCACTGTATATTCCATTTGGTCCTGCCACTGTCTTGTTTTTTCTTTTCTTGTTTTTTGTTATTTTTTCTATTCCTTTTTCTTCTTCTTCTTTTCCTTTTTCTTCCTCTTCTTTTTCTTTTCCTTTTTCTTCCTCTTCTTTTTCTTTTCCTTTTTCTTCCTCTTCTTCTTCTTTTCCTTTTTCTTCCTCTTCTTCTTCTTTTCCTTTTCTTCTTCTTCTTCTTCTTTTCCTTTTCTTCTTCTTCTTCTTCTTCTTCTTCTTCTTCTTTTCCTTTTCTTTTTTTCTTCTTCTTCTTCTCCTTTTCTTTTTTTCTTCTTCTTCTTCTTCTTTTCCTTTTTTCTTCTTCTTCTTCTTCTTTTCCTTTGATTGATTTGATTGATTTGATTTGTGTGATGTGCATTTAGGGCGTCTGAAGTGGGTTTTCCCATGTGCTCATTTGAGTTGTGGAGCCTTGTCTTTTTTTTTCTTCTTCCGGGCAGTGCATTGCATGGGTTTCTTGATGTATCTTCCGCTATTTGCATTGCTTCTTTTTCTATGTGTGCTTTTTTTTTCTTTCTTTTTTATCTTTTTTTTCTTTCAATAGTTTCTTGTACTATCTCCTCCTTTTTGTAGTAGTATTCATGGTCTTTAATAGTTACTATTTTTAGCCTTGTATAAATCTTTCAGGGTTATTTTGTGTTGCTTGGTTACTTGTAGCACTCCTTATTAAACCAAGGTTGTGCTTTTCTCTCTTTGAGGGGGTACCTGAGGACACAACAGCTTCCTTCAGCGTCATGGCGGCTGCTTCCAGGTTGTCTCTTATTTCTTTTTGAATTTGTATCGTTTTAGAACATAGCATTTCCAAGGTTTCCTTGTTGATTTTCCTTGTAAGTCTGATTTGTCGTGCCTGTGTGTAATTGTGGTTTTGATCTTTCAGTAATAATTTAGTTTTGATTGAGAGGTGTAATTGTTGATGTCCATAGTGCCTCTTAAGTTTTGGGTATTAGGTCCCTTCCTTTGAGTACTAGGTCTATTGCTCAAGAGCCATTATGAGCAAAGTCATTCTTGAAATAATTTCTGTTTACTAGTTTGAAGCCCTTTTCTGCCATTAGATCTAATACTGTTTTTGTTTTATGATCAGGTTTATCCAGTCTGCAGTTGAGATCTACTGCGAAAATGGCGTTTCCTCCTTGTTTCACGTAGTTTAGTACTATCAGACCAATATTTTTGAATGAATCGGTAAAGAAAATCTCTAAACCAATAGCATTGTATCAAATGTTACGTAACGTGAAAATGAATGCCAAGATTTTGTTTCATGATGCGTGTTCGACAGGGCCGCATGGAATCTCGGATCAACACCCAACAAATGCGAGTCTGCATTTTGAACCGTAAAAAAACAGAGAACATGAAATGCATGCTGGACACAGAAGGGAATGCTCTTAGCTGGTGTCTGATGAAAGACAATGAGACTGGTCTAAAAAGTCAAATGTCACAGCCTGGAAGAATAACCCAAAAGAAAGAAACATCAAAACATGTAAAGATGAGGATAGCGACAAAAACCATGATTATGATGAAATTGAGGAACAAGAAAATAATATTTCTGTAATAATTCTTGTCAACAAGGCAATTTTCTAGTCAATCATTTTGTAATTTTATTTTGACTAAATAGTAAGAATTGGTTAAAAATTAAAAATATTCTCAGAAGGCCTCTTCAAACTTAGGTGGTTTTCTTATATTCGGGTAAAGGCATATATCTATATTTAAATACCTATATATAAATTATGCGTTTAACTAAAATAATGGAATCTATAATTACATATAAATTAACATCTTCATTAAACGAACTCATTATTGATATTTACTAGGTTGTCCGGGTGACGCTGCGTCCATGGTGAAGGTACCAACATTTCGGATGCCATTCTGCGACCTTCTTCAGGGCGTAATGCTTAGTCGAGGAAGGTCGCAGAATGGCGACCAAAACGTCGGCACTTTCACCATGGACGCGGGGTCACCCGGACACCCTAGTAAATACTGACTCCGGCCACAGAAGCCTACGCTTTCTTATTATTGATGAACAGCATGGTTTTAGGAAAGTGAAATCTCCTGTCAATAACTCATTAACTATACAACATTTTTTGGTGGAAAATTTGGAATTGGAAAACCCAATAGATTTAGTTTACCCAGATTTCTTAAAAGCTTTCATTACCATTAACTATCATCTCATTCTCATTGCTTTGAAAAAATGTAAGTTTCATAACTATTTGTAAGATAGAAAACACACTGTGATGTGTAAATCCTGAGTTTTTAAAAATATTTGTGTCACTTCTGGCGTTCAAGGCTCCCACTATTTTATAATTTTTACATTTATACATTTTATAATTTTTGTTAATGGCCTTAAGCTATTTCCACCAAGTTTAAACTTTTTATTTTTTGCTGATTAATTTTTGAAATTTTAAATTAAAAATATATAGATATATATATATA